TCCCCCGCTGGGTTGGGAATGATCCTTTGGAATATCCCGGGCTGGCTGGGTGTGGAGATGGGGTGCTGCTGCTTTTCCTCACATCCAGGGGTGTTCAGGGCATTGCACACTTCAAATTCAGCGTGGGATTGGGGTGCTGGGCCCTTCCCTTTCTGCCAGAGACTCCCAAGCTGGAGCTGCTGGGCAGGATTTGCCCTTGGAGGGACTTTGAACTGCCGAGTGTGGTCACACAGGCCCTGTCGGAGGATTTCTGCAGCCCCAAGCACAGGTCCCTGCAGGTGAGAAGCACTTTCAGGCCTCGGGGAAGGCCCTTTTCCCTTCCCTCCCCTCCAAGCCTTCCCTTTTTAGGCCTTAAAAAAACTGTTCCAGAGCGAGTTGCCAGCACAGACTTCCCAATTAGCAATCTGCTCCCAGAAGCAAAGGCAGCTGTTCCCCCAGCAAAAACCCTGGGCTGTGTGCTGGAAAAGGGCACGGGGAAACAGGATCTGCTCGTCCCTTGGAGGAGTTAATGGGGAAAAGTTTAAACTTTAGAGCTCTGCCTTTGCCATGGATACTTTGTGTTGGTTGCCCGGCTGCCATTGTTTGACAGTTTGCTATTTATGGGTTGGGTATTTTTAGGGATGTGACGAGTCCAGCTCTGGACCTGGATCTGTTGCTATTATTGGAGCGCTGAGTGGCAGAATTAAACCGGTGTCGCTTATCCCATTAAGGGTATCTCATCCTGAGGGGGATCTGAGCGTCAGGGCAGACGCTGGAGCGTGGGCAGGGAAGGGAGCGGAGCTGGGAAGGGGCTGGAGGGACCTGAGAGGGCTCAGCCTGGAGAAAAGGAGGCTCAGGGGGGACCTGAAAGGAGCTCCCTGGTAGAGCCCATTACTAATCCCAGCCGGAATAGCTGGTCACACTGGCCTGCCGTGCCTGAGGGAGGCACAGCAGCTCCAGCAGCACAGCAATTCCTCGTGCCAGGGGGCTGGAAGTCCCCCCTGGAAGAGCACTGGTGCCGGGAGGGAGGATCCTGTTCCCTTCCAGCCTTGCCCGGACTGCCAGGCAGCGTTGGCAGCTGCAGGGATGCTTTGCATTATCAACTGTTGCTGCTTCCAGTTAGCTGGGAATGGAATTCCCCTCCGTGCTGCCCACACCTGCTCCAAGGTATCCCTTGAGGCTGCTGGAGCCACAGCAGAGGGCTGGGCACAGCAGAGGGCTGGGCACAGCAAGGCTCTTCCCAAACCTGTCACTGTGACACATTCCCAGGATAAGCTGCTATTTCTGACGAGGGGGCTGAGCCTCCCTGGGCTTTGCAGGACTCTCAGGTGGAAATTGCAGCCAGGGGAGTGTCCCTGCAGGGCCAGGGGTGAGCTCAGCACCCAGCTCAGGGTGCCCAGGGCCAGCTGCCTCACTGAGGGCCCTTCTCCAGCCAGGAATTCGGGGTGGATGGCAGCAGGAGGGTGTGCAGGCAGGTCCCTCCTCGGCGGCCGTTGCGGTGTCAGTGAACACGAGCACGGGGTCAGGCCATGGGATGTCGAGTTCCTCACCTTTGCACTGGGACAGGCAGGGAAGGAAGGAGGGGGCAGAGTTTATTCCAGCACGCTGAGGTCAGGCTTGTTTTCCCCCCTGGAGCAGGAACAGCTGAGCCCCTGGAGTGGGATCCTGCAAGGCTGTAAACAACGGGCTCGCTCCTGCGGGAAGCCAGAGATGGGATCGCGTTCCACTGGAAAGTTGTTGGGTTGTTTGTTCCCCTGTTCCTGTGAACGCTGCCTGTTCACAGGGAACGGGGCAGAGTCTGAGGCTCTGCCATGTGACTGATCGAAAATCTAAGCCTTGGCAGTGCAGGAGCCCCTGGGCTGCTTTTAAAGGGGAAGGAAAGAAACAGCGCTCCAAAAGTGCCAGATTTCAAGGGAAAACCAATCCAAATAAGGAATGTGTGTTGTCACTGCGGAGTCTCAGTTCAGCTGCAGCCTCAAGGCTTCCTTTAGGCAGAAGGTAGATTGGATTTTGGGTGGTTTGTGTCTGACTGAGGTGCTGAGCTCTCCTGCAGTGTGGGGGTGGTGGTTCATTCCTGCAGCAGCTTGGCATTTATGGAATAATTTCAGTTGGAAAAGCCCTCCAAGATCTGGAAGGACCTTCCAGGTGCTGCGGCACTTGTTTTTCAGCCCCACACTCCTGTCCATGCTCCCTCCCTGTCTCCACAGCGGATTTTGTTGGTAAATCCCCCCAAATTCCGGTCCCTTTGGGTTTCTCACAGCATTCCCAGGGGGGTCAGGCAGGGCTGTGCTGCTCCAGCAGGAATGATCACGATGAGCGAGGCCCCAGCTGCTGTTCCAGGCCGGGCTCCTCTCCACCTGCCCTCCCCAAATCCAGCTAAAGCCTCCCCAGCTCCAGGGGCTCCTTGGATGAGCGTGTGGAGAACTACCCTGGAGCAGAGGGAACGGCTGGAAGTGTCCAAGCCCAGGGGGGACAGGGCTTGGAGCATCCTGGGCTGGTGGAAGGTGTCCCTGCCCATGGCAGGGGCTGGGATGAGATGGGATCTCAGCTCCTTCCTGCCCAGACCATCCTGGGATTCTGTGATCCTGAGGAGTGGCTCAGTGATGGACTGGGAGCTGTTCTGAGCCCGATTCAAACCTGCCTTTTGGTCTGCTGACCTGACCCAGGTTCCTGTGTTTCATGGTAAAGCTTTTTCCTTGCTCTCACCTTCCTGTTTCCGGGGATAGCTGGCGCTGACTCTCTTGTTTGGAATGTGGCATTTGTAAAAATTCCCATTTAAAAAAAACCACCACCAACAACAACAAAAAACCACCAAAACCTTTAAAATGCTTGTTTTGGCACAAGGGCTGTTCCTCACCCCTTGGTTTGCTGCAATCTCTGGAGCAGAAGGAGGTGAAAGGGGCCAGCGAGGCCTGGCCTGAACCCCAGCACGGAGTCAGTGACGTGGGTTTTACTCCTTTATGAAAAAAAAAAAAAAAGAAATACAAACTGTTTGTGCTCAGACAGCGAGCGGAGAAAACAAGCAGGGTTGGATTTCAGCTCCGCCAGGTTCTTGGAATTGTTCCCTCTCTGGCTCCAGCTCCGAGTGCAGCGTGGGGAGGAGGGTTGAGCAATGGCTTTACTGGTAGGCAGGAAGGGGCCGTGCTGGGGTAGGGGCAGCACGTGGGGTTCTCAGGGTGTTGCTGAAGCTTTCCAGGGCCAGCTCATCCCTGCTCCCTGGGTTCCTGTTTTCTTGGAAACTCAGCTTGCCACTGCGTGTCTTCAGGCAGAGGGCTCTGGTGGCTTCTGGGCTGAAAACACTCTGCATTTCCCCCCCCAAAAGCGGGGCAAACACCTCTACCTGTCTGCATTCCCCCCAAAAATGATGCAAACACCTCTCCCTCTGCTCATCCCCCTTCCCCCAAAAATGGAATCTAGAGCCGAACATTTCAGTGCCCTCCCATCACTTCACTCCTCTTCCAGGTGCCACCTTCAGGTTCAGGGTCTGGAATCCAGAGCCTGACCTCCAGGCTGTGGGTGTTACTTGTGAAAACAGAGGAAGGTGGGTTCCCTGTTTTTACCGATGGTTGATATCATCCCTGGTTTTCTGGTGGATCCCTTGGATGTCAGTCAGAGTCGTCCCCGTTGGTTGTAGCTCAGTTATTGCTGTGCTGGAGCTGCAGCCAGTGGGGTAAATATTCCAGATTGTAACTCCATTAATAATGTGTCAGTGATGGAACTCCTGAATTCCCCTTTCCTTGGCAGGAGGAACCAACCAGGACCCCTGGCAGCGCCCGACGGGACGGTGGCCGAGACTGCTGCGTGGCAGTTAGGAAGGTGAGCAAGGGCAGCTCTGCCCTCGTGGAACTCAGAATTACCATTTCACCGTTCCTTTGCCTTCCACTGGGGCTTGGATTTTACCTGCCACGGTAGCAGGGCTGGCTGAGGTGTCTGCCCAGCCACAGCGGGGGTTTGGAGGTGCTGACTCCAAGCCAGGCTGGTGATCCACTGTCCACGAGGAGCCTCGTTATGTAAGGCTGATCAGCTCCTTAATTAGGGCGGGACATCCCTGAATTGCAGAGGAGAACGTGTCCCTTAGTCAGCAGGACCAGGGGGCTCTGGCTGCTGGAGGAGGAGGTTGTTCCCTCTGTCCTGGGGCTTTGCTGGAGCTCTGGGGTGCGTGGGGGCAGCAGGGGCTGCCGGGGATGGCTTTTCGTCCTGTATGAAGTGGTTTGTGTTTTCTATCAAAAATATCGTGAAATCCCGTATTTCCTGCCCCGTGTGACACACCAGGAAGGTTAAAGGAGCTCAGCCCTGGTGAGGTGACAGACCCAGAGCTGGGGGCTGTGTGTTGCTCACGTAGTTTGTTGTTCCAGAGCTTCAGGGCACTGGGATGCCCAGAGGAGCAGGAGCGCTCCTGGGTTCTGTTAATGCCCCCAGGGGAATTGAACTGAGCCCGTGTTTCGACCCACCCTGGTTTTGGGAGGCGTTTGACCTCCCCACAGGAGCTCTGGGAAGCAGCAGGTCAGGCCGGCGCTGCTTTGGGGCTGGAGGAAATTTGGATGATGATGTCGATGGTGATGGTGAGCAGTTGCTGTTCTTGAGTCACTCTGGAGAGCTGAGATCCATGTGACTCCAGAGCCAGTAGTTCTGTGTTCCCGTGTGTGTGCCAGCCGGGCCTTTGGGGGTGGCAATGACGTTTCAGGGGCGCGTTTTGGGTGTCAAATCCTCTAAAACTCCATTTTTTGGGGGGAGGGACTGGCCCCGAGCGAGCGCCTGCAGTTCCCGCTGCGGGCGGCAGAGGGCGATGTTGGGCCGCCCGAGGGGCTCCGCTCGGGGCCGTTGGAGGGCCTTGATTTTAATATTAATTAACCGATATTCCGTTAATAAAAGAGCCTGCCGGGCTCCCGGGGCTCCGAGTGCCGTCCTGCCAGCACAGCGGGGCGAGGCTCTGCAGGGACACCGGGGCTCCCCGGAGCTCTGGGAAGAGGCAGTTGGGCTTCTCCAGGGGGATGAGCAGGGATGTTCTCCCTCACTCTCAGCACTAAGCCGAGCTCTGCAGGGCGATCCCAGCCCAGAGACTCCCCAAAAATCGCAGTTCCAGCCGCCAGCGTGGGTGTCAGCAGATGGCAGCACCCTGCCCTGCACCCCATGTGTTATTCCTGGCCGGGAGATTCCCTGGATTCAACACCACAGTCTAGACTTACTGACAGACAGGATTCTTCTCCTGTTAGGTAAGCAAGATACAGACACCCATTATGCAAATTCCCAGCCGTGGTGCCCCTCTGAAACATTCTTCAGATTGTCTAAATAAGGTGCTGTTTCATGCTAAGCCAGGCTTTTGGGTGCCTTCCAGCTGCCTTGCCCCGGAGGTGGGATTTTTGGGTTTTTTCCCCCCTTGGAGGTGCTGATCAGCACAGACCAGAGTGCTTTTGGCCTCCCAGCTGCCCAGATGTGCGGCAGGAGGAGGAGACAGGCTGGGTGAAGAGCTGAAATCGTGCAGTTCCAAAGCTTTGGAGCTCTTGTGCCTGTGGCTGCTGCCTGTGCAGGCGGTGACATGGGGGGGTAATAAAGACGAGTTGTGTGTGTTTTATAACACCATTGCACAGGCTCAACAGGCAGTTTTTTTGGTCTCTGAGCACCAGAAGTCAGTTCTAAGTGTCCCCCCACGGGGCAGGGGAGGGTTGGAGGGTGCAGTGACCTGGTGCTGTCAGCTCTGCACGGAGGTGTTGCCCCTGCTCAAGGTGACTCACACCCTGGGCTGGAGGAGGTGGGAATGGATCATCACTGACTATCCAGAGGGGTTGGAAACGGCTGTGGCATTTGCACTCTTTCTTTTTTTTCCCAGAGGAGTTCAAAGAGCCTTTCAGCCCTGATGACTGTGGAGTTATTCGTGCAGCAACTCCCAGAGAGGCCCTTGTCGTGTTCTTGTCCCATGGGCCCAAATTTCTGACCACAAACTCTCTTCCAGTGTTTTGTACTGTGGTTCTGTCACTGAAATCTGTCCTCCTGCCCCCAGCCTGGAGCTGCTTTAGGCTCCTCAAGCCTCAGAGCACACAAAGGGCTGGGAAGGGATGACTGGCAGCTTCCTGAGCTGCTCCTTAGGTCAGGATTTGGCGGGCGCCCAGCGAGGCTTTGGAATGGCTGTTAGTGCTGCGTGGTGAGCACAGCCCTTCTCAGGAAAACATTGGAAGGCTTCCTAGTCCTGAATTCACTGTGCAGGCACGTGATTTTCTGGGAATCAGCTTGAATGTGCTGCAGAATGGCTCAGAAATCCCTACATGGGGTGATGTTGGATCATGGAAAAGCAAGGACGAGGCGGTTGGTCGGGTTCCTTCGGGGTGGCCCTTCAGCCTGTTGATACCAGCCGGGCTCTGCTGCTCCTGTTCCTTGCCTAAGAAAGGGAAAAAGTCTGTGTTTTGTTGTGGTTTTTTTTTTTATTTAAATTGCAGCACTGCTCCTGTGTTCAGTTCAGTTCTCAGGGGGGTGGGTTCTCAGTTCTCAGGGGGGTGGGTTTTCAGTTCTCAGGGGGTGGGTATCTGCACCCTGCGCTGCTGCAGAGCTCTGGGCTTTGCCCGTTTTCATCGACAGCCAGCAGTGACACTCGGCCCTGTGCTGGCTGGGCCTCTCCCTTGCCGAGGTGTGGGCTGTGATCCCGTCCCTTCCTGCGTGGGAATCCTGCCCTGCAGCCGCAGGGTGAGCGGCAGCCCCGGTTCCCGCCGGCATTGACCTTTCCCCGCAGCCTCCCCCTCATCTGCGCCCTTGCAGGAGTTCACTCAGACACCTCTGCTGCCGGCAGGGGCTCTGAACCCTCTCCAGCTCAGCTGCTCAGGGGCTGGGAACCCTCCCCAGCTCAGCTGCTCGTGTGTCTCACCGTTCCTGCTCGCAGATCTGAGATAATGAGGCAGGCGAGCGCTGCTGACTCAGATCTTACTGGCTCTGGGGTTTGTCCTTCCTGCCCTCCCACACTCCACCTGCACACCCAGCTAACCTTCCCCCCCCTACACGTTCCCTGGGGCTTTCCTCCCCACAAACACAGCCTGCTCTCCCACCCTGCCGCTCGGGGACCGGACGGAACAACCTGAAGCTTTTTGGGGAAGAGCCGTGGCTTGAGGAGCGCTGGAGAGCTGGGGAGGGAGAAACGGGGTCCCTGGGGTTTGCCCTGGCAAAGAGCCAGGCTGAGTCATCCCAGCCTTTCCTTGGAACACCTGAGTGCTGGGTAAACACCAATATACCCCTGTAAACACCCATATCTGCTCGTTCCAGCTGCAGGGCTGCACTCCCAGGGTTCACCTGCGTCGTCTCCGGCCCGGAGCTGCCGAGTTACTCAGGGCTGAGCACACCCAGCTCCTGTTCCTGACGCTCCTGCACGCCCAGGACGCTGCCCTGTGCTGTTTACCCAGGGGCTGTGGTGACACCCACGGTGCAGGCCGTAAAATGCCCGGATTGGGGGTTGTTTTGTCGGGAGCAGCGCTTTGCCTTGTGCTCCCCAGGTTCGAACGGGCTGTAAATTCTCCCAAGTTCAGAGCTGTCAAAGCACTTTTCTGTATCGCTGTGGGGAGAAAGAAAAAAGTGCTTAGTGGGGTTGTTACACTGAGCCTTTTCTGGTCAGATAGGAAACCCTGGCTGGGGCTGCCTGGAAGAGCAGCTCAGAGCTGTGTGAACTCGCAGACGAGCAGGGCAAGGCTCTGTCCTGCTGGGAAGGGCTCTGTCCTGCTGGGAAACTCAATCTGTTGGAAGTGCAGGTTGCTGGAAGGGCACAGGACGTTTGTGTGAATGATTTAGGGGAATGAGCCAACTTTCTGTTGTTTCCTGTCGCTGGTTTCTTCATCTGCCCGGTGTGGAACCCTCGGTGTCACCTGGACCTCGGTGAATCTCTCGTGCTGCAGAGGCAAACTGTCATCAAGCAGCTCTGCTTGCCCTTTATCTGCCTCTTCTAAATACATAAAATATATAGAATTCCCTGAGCAGCACTGAGTTCCCACCTTTCCCATCTGGTTTCCCACCCCATGCAGCTGCAGTCTGGACAGGCTCACATTCCTCGGTCCTGGGGCCAACATTCCTCTGCCCCAGCTCGTTTGCTTGGGATTTGTTTAAGGTTTGACTCTCAACCCTGTCTCGGGCTCCCAGACACCTTCATTAGCTGCACCTCCAGCCCCCGCCCTCTGCAGGGTTCAGTCTTGGTCACACTTACTAAAATAAGATGGAGATTGGCAACTTGCAGCTGGCTGTTGCTGGAGTTCAGTGGAACTCATCTGGAATCCCCAAATGCCAGCGCACTGAGTAAAGGCAGTGCAGCTTGCTGATTAAACACTCAGCTATTTCTGTTAAAAAACCTGAAAGGAAAGTTGCTCTTTTTTTCAAGCCTTTATGGCAGCTGGGAGTGGAGAAATCCCTGCTTAGGGATTCTCCTTTGCCCTGGGTGCACAGGAGCTCATCCCTGAGCTGTTCTTTCCTTGGAATTCAGCTTTTCTGCCAGTGCAGCCCCGGCCCACGAGGAAAATGTGTGTGTGCAAAAGTGTCCAGAGAGAGAGAGAGAGAGAGAAATCAGGCAGTTCCCTGAGCCTTAATAGCCAATTTTGCTGGACAAGGCCCGACTTAACCACGTTACATCATCTCCACCAGGAGCCTCTCAAACCTGAATCCCCTGGGAGTTCTTTGCTGCTTCTGGTCTTGGCTTCAGCAGCTCAGAGCTGGAGGGATGCTTGGTTTGTGGATGCAGCTTGGAGCAGCCTGGACTGGTGGAAGGGATCCCTGCCCATGGCAGGGGGTGGAACTGGGTGGGCCTAAAGTCCCTCCCAACCCAAACCATTCCATGCTTTTATTCCCGGGGCAGATCTCCAGCCTGGCTCGGTGTTCCTGCAGATCTTCCCCCGGTCTGGGGGGGGCTTTGCTTCTGCTGGGAGCTGCTTTGTGGAGCACCTGCAGTGGAATTAAATGGAATGAAAAGCCCCCAAGCCCTCAGGAAGGTGAGCACAGGCAGTTTCATCCAGGGCATTCCCTTATAAAGCGCTGATTCCGGCTGTGCCAGCAGGAGTGGCCCTGCTGCCAGGAATTCCTCTGCTTTCCCTGCCGTGCCACACCCACTGCTCCGGATCCCTGTGGGCAGCAGGGATCGCCAGACATCCCCACCACGTGGAATTCCTGCCTGGAGAAGGGGCAGGGGGGGTCCTGCAGAGCTGCCAGTGAGGAACTGGCTGTAACAGGATCCAGAATCCAGGGGGGGAAGTGATCCCTCAGCTGCTGCCCCTTTCTCCTGACTCTCAGGGTGCAAAGGAAAACCCACGAGTCACCCCAGCTGCTCCTCCAAACCTGTCCTGCAGCTCCTCCTTCCCCTGGCACTCCGAGGGAAGTGGCTGGAGCAAGCAAGCTGGGAGGTTTGGGGGCAGCAGCAAAACATCCAAGCTCAAAAAAAAAAAAAAAACCAACCCCTTCTTCTTTCTCCTGAGCTCTTGCACCTGAGCTGATTGGCACAAAACACTGGCAGGATGGAAACCTCCAGCAGCCACAGCTCAAAGTTGAAGCTGAGCTTGGAGCAGGGCAGGACTTGTTTCTCCAGGTTCAGTTTGAGCCCAGGCAGGGACTGAGGGCAGGTTTTTGGGAGGTCCCCCTCGTCCCTGGGTGACACCGGCATTGCTGTCCCCGCAGTGTGTAATTTGTGGGCGATGGCCACCCTTTGATGTCCCTGCCCTTCACTTCCCCTGCACCCCAACTCACCAACCAGCTTTTCCTCCTTCCCCCGGCCTCGAGACGCTTTTCTAAGAATTTCATTTCTGCAGCATCTGCAAAAGCCCCGGAGCTGGAGCAGCCTCTGTCAGCACCCAGCGAGGGAGAGGCCGAGCTGGGGCTGCCTGGGGGGCACTTCCCTGGGGCAGTGAAGATAATCCCAGTTTAATACTGCAGAAAAAGATCTGGGCAAACACTCTGGCTCTCCCTGCAGTGGCCTCGTTTTGGGTTTCAGTCCCCTCAGAGGTACCAGGAGATGCTCTTGTTGTTTGTAACTTGGTGGGGTTTTTTTCCCCTCAGTTTTCTCCTTTCCTTTTATCTCTTGGCACAGTGAGTGTTGAGTTTGTATCAGACTAAAATTTGGCTAAAAACTGACTCAAATTCGGTCAGGTTTCCACGAGCTGCAGCCCAGTGGTGAATTGTTCCCCTGAGCCCAGAGGAGACGCCGAGGCTCTGAAACAAACACCTTCGCCTCAAAGGTTGAGGGTAAAGGTTTGCTCTGTTGGAT